TATTGCATACCTGAGCCACCGTTAACCGAGCCGTTACTGACTTTAAGAAAGAGCTCTGAAGTGCCTTAAAATTACTCAATTTTCTCATCGTATCCTTCTCTCCATTTTCACTAAATTATAAGAATATAATAATAAATAAAAATCTATTGATGTATTTGTGGTCATCATATGTATGGTAATACTTGAGCTCTATTTCATCCAAAGGATCCGATTCTTCCTCATAACAATACAAAGAGAAGGGAATTATACTACAAATGAAAGTGAAAACAAAGTTTTATATACTTTATCTTAAATGTAATAATAACTGTTTATTGTTTATTAACCAGTAGACTGTCAATACATAAAACTCTTACCCAATACTTGATCCCATTTTACTGCCGACACCTCTGGACTTAAAGTATTGAATGACTGCATCACTGTCTTCGAGATCGACGGCAAACGATATGTTATAATAGTTATTGTTATTAGACTTTTGCCAAACGGCCTCATCTATGCCCAGGTATGCCAGCGATTCCTCCACTAGCTATTCATTGTGGTTAATAAGTGTATCAAGAAATTAAATTTAAGAATATTTTTTTTGTATAAGAATTGTATAAAAATAACATACAGTTTCTAATAGTGGATCCTTAAAGTTATCCAATTTATTGCGATATTCATTGTTATAGTTTTCATTTGCCTCATTAATTGTATGCAATTCACCTAAATAGTAGAAATTTTCATATTTATTTTAATTTTTAAATATTTATTTCAGTTTTATATGAGATTCTTTGCATTTAAGAGTTTATGAAACTTTAATAAATATTAAGTAATGTAGTAAACGATTATGAAATAGAAAACAGAATAATATTTGCGACAAATTATTTGTTTAGTAACTATTTGTGGAATTTATTATTTTTCATAATAAAAATAATTTATTGTATTGTTTGACACAAATATCAATAAAAATTCCTTGAATTAAAAATATGTCTAATTTTTGTCTATTGTTTGTTTGAATCGCTAATTCATTAATCACTAAATTTTTATAATTTCGTTCAAAGGGTATGAGAAACAAAACTTTCTGTATTTTTTTGTACTTTTATTTATTATAGTGTCAGTTAATTGCTGATAACCAAGGTAAACAGTGTGAAAAAATGAGTATTTTTAAATTTACAACACTTTATCTCGTATTTTGACTAATTTCTAATCTCGTAACTTATGATTTTTTTGGGTAAAAATTTATAACTTTTTAGACAATTATCGGCAGATATAGAGCACAAGAGTTAAGGATTTATATCATTACGGATCACTTAAGTAACTACACTGTAGTACAGACCTCATCAGTACAGCAAAACTGAGCACTTTTTATAATCTTATTTTTTGATTGTAATAATGATATTATGTCTAAAAATTGAATGAGATAATGTAGACTTCTACGAAATATTATACATTGTAAAGTGATATAAATTTCATATTTACAGTTATTGTCGACAATGAATACGATATAATTTTATTTCTTACGCTAAACGAAAATTCATTACAAATTTCATTTATTAAGCGGTTTCTTATGAATGAAATAATTTACGACATGAACACAAAAATAAAGGAAATTTTTTTTATCAAATCTTTGTGCCAGTTTTAACTCGTATTAAATAGCGATTAATTATGAATTATAGGTAATAAAGCCGCCTATTTACAGGACATTTAAGATTAGCACTTGTGAAACATTAGTGTGTTTATCTAATTAAATACATTTTATTTATTTTACGTGTGTAATTCAATATGATTTCTATAATTAGTAATTGAAAGCAGTGTATAATTTAAGATTAGCTATAAATTGGTGTCAAGTTTACGAAGAATTATCAGATTCTNCATTGAAGTATTTTTCCATAAATATCTATAACACAAGTACTGGAAATAAATATACAAAACCTAAGAAAACCAATGCTTTCATAAATAAAAGTTTTTTGCCAATCAATAAGAATCTGATAATTCTTCGCAAACTTGACACCAATTTATAGCTAATCTTAAATTATACACTGCTTTCAATTACTAATTATAGAAATCATATTGAATTACACACGTAAAATAAATCAAATGTATTTAATTAGATAAACACACTAATGTTTCACAAGTCCTAATCTTAAATGTCCTGTAAATAGACGGCTTTATTACCTATAATTCATAATTAATCGCTATTTAATACGAGTTAAAACTGGCACAAAGATTTGATTAAAAAATTTCCTTTATTTTTGTGTTCATGTCGTAAATTATTTCATTCATAAGAAACCGCTTAATAAATGAAATTTGTAATGAATTTTCGTTTAGCGGAAGAAATAAAATTATATCGTATTCATTGTCGACAATAACTGTAAATATGAAATTTTTATCACTTTATAATGTTTCGTAGAAGTCTACATTATCTCATTCAATTTTTAGACATAATATCATTATTACAATCAAAAAATAAGATTATAAAAAGTGCTGAGTTTTGCTGTACTGATGAGGTCTGTACTACAGTGTAGTTACTTAAGTGATCCGTAATGATATAAATCCTTAACTCTTGTGCTCTTTATCTGCCGTTAATTGTCTAAAAAGTTATAAATTTTTACCTAAAAAATCATAAGATACGAGATTAGAAATTAGTCAAAATATGAGATAAAGTGTTGTAAATTTAAAAATACTGATTTTTTCACACTGTTTACCTTGGTTATCAGCAATTAACTGACACTATAATAAATAAAAGTACAAAAAAATACAGAAAGTTTTGTTTCTCATACCCTTTGAACGAAATTATAAAAATTTAGTGATTAATGAATTAGCGATTCAAACAAACAATAGACAAAAATTAGACATATTTTTAATTCAAGGAATTTTTATTGATATTTGTGTCAAACAATACAATAAATTATTTTTATTATGAAAAATAATAAATTCCACAAATAGTTACTAAACAAATAATTTGTCGCAAATATTATTCTGTTTTCTATTTCATAATCGTTTACTACATTACTTAATATTTATTAAAGTTTCATAAACTCTTAAATGCAAAGAATCTCATATAAAACTGAAATAAATATTTAAAAATTAAAATAAATATGAAAATTTCTACTATTTAGGTGAATTGCATACAATTAATGAGGCAAATGAAAACTATAACAATGAATATCGCAATAAATTGGATAACTTTAAGGATCCACTATTAGAAACTGTATGTTATTTTTATACAATTCTTATACAAAAAAAATATTCTTAAATTTAATTTCTTGATACACTTATTAACCACAATGAATAGCTAGTGGAGGAATCGCTGGCATACCTGGGCATAGATGAGGCCGTTTGGCAGAAGTCTAATAACAATAACTATTATAACATATCGTTTGCCGTCGATCTCGAAGACAGTGATGCAGTCATTCAATACTTTAAGTCCAGAGGTGTCGGCAGTAAAATGGGATCCAGTATTGGGTAAGAGTTTTATGTATTGACAGTCTACTGGTTAATAAACAATAAACAGTTATGATTACATTTAAGATAAAGTATATAAAACTTTGTTTTCACTTTCATTTGTAGTATAATTCCCTT